AAAAGAGAGTTATTAGTTCAGTTGAAAATTTTCAGTAAACAAGATGTTGTTTTCGTAGTAAAATTCATTTTTACTAACTATCAGCTAGAATTATGATTTATTATTCTCAGATTGAGCTATTTTAAGGTGATAGTGCAGAGATAAACCAATATTTGGTTCTTGAAATGGGTTGTGACCAGTGTGATAGAAAAGCAGTTTCTGTATACTGATAGCATTAAATAATATGTAATATTGGCATCAGTTCTTTGTTTAGAAGATTAATGAAGATCTAGCAGCCAAGACAGAATAACATGAAAAATCTAAAACACCAACAAAAAAAAAAAAAAAAAAAAAAAAGGAAAACATTCTATACTTTGATGTGGGAGGAATCTTAGTTAACTCTTCACTCCACATATTCATAAATATTTATGAATCCAAATGTTTATGTCAGTTATAATGTCAGTCTGATATGTTTTACTCCTGGTTTAACTTGATTTCCTTGGCTTAACATTACTGTAATCCGAAAAAAAAATTATCCCTACTTGAAGTATAAAAATGTGAGCAAGTGCAACATATTATAGTACATTTTACTGATTTTTAGTTTTTCTTTCAATTCAAGTCTATATAACATATTTTATGAATTTAATAGACTAGTTGTACCAGACACGCCTCAGCATCACAGTATTGGCACGAAGCACGCCACAGATTATTACTAAGGGCCAGCGTATTAGTGGTAGAGCTTATTACATGTGTGCCGTATGTCACACTGCATTGTGGTTACCCTGTGATCCATACTTACTTAAAGCAGGCTACTAGGAGGGAAGGTCAGCCTAGGCCCACAGATTTTCATCATCTGTTTATGCGTTAAAACTCTTAAAATTATTGATCCCTATATTCCCTGTAATTCCCCTTATGCAATACCCTGTCAAGAAAATAATGGGCGGAGGGGATCAATGGGAACCGTGCAGTTGTCATGTACAATCACAGCAGCACTGTATTAATGCTCAGCCCATGTCTTTAGTCCCGATTAAACAATTAGAGAGTAATTTGTGTAATTCTGGGCTTAGCTACAACACTAATCTCGCTTGATGAGGAGGATGGGAGAGTCATTTGTGCATTGATTGAAAATCATTTGACAACATGTAATCACACTTGTCCAATTTAGGGATTGTCGAAGGCTTGAAAATTCTCAAAAGGACTGAAGTTGATGGCAGGGGATCGGTGTAGTTAGTTATTACCTCTTAATATGGCGGCGTGCGTGTGATCTAAACACACTCTGACAATCAACAACATAGTCAATGAACTTCTTATGGAATGTAATTCCTTGTTTGATGAAATCCCATAGCTGGCAGCCAGCTTTGGTTGATGAGCTGGCAACCTGAAGGTGGCTGTCTCTGCTATACTGCTCCAGCAAATTGCTGCCTTTTTTGTGATAATTATCAGGAGCAATGTGGGTAGATGATCACTTTTTGTCATTGATCATTTCTTCCAGTTGAAGAAGTCTTCCACCTCTGAAAGCTACAAGATTGATACAAATAACAGATCTAATTCTTATGCATGGTTAGGTCCTTGCTTTGACTGCTATTGATATCAGAATTAGAATTTTCATTTTTCTATGGGAATATGGTACTATTTTATAGCAAGGTATTTGTAAGTGAAAACAACATTTATGGCATTGTGTTTGTGTATAGGTTAACGTTTTCTTTTCAATTTTCCTTCCTTCCCCCCTCTCTTTCTCTCTCTCACACATGCATGCACATGCACACACACACACACACACCAAAGTCTAGCAAACGCATTTTTATCTGGATAACAATTTAAAATATTTTTCAGGATTTTTTCTGTTATTTTCCAATTTTATATTGGTACAATTACCTTCAATAAATTACCATTTATCTGATGTGATACTTGAATGAAAATCAAACAAATAATTGATGACATATAGGCAGGATTCCCAGGTTTCACCCTGCCTTTCAGCATCATTCTGTAAATATTTTACAAGATCTGTCATATGTGAATATATATTTAACGTGTTTGTCTCGATTTTGCCACATGTCACAGGTTTTGATTTGTCATATCACGTTGAAATCTTTTAAAAATGCAGAGCGCTTTGATGCCGTTCGAAATTGCCTGTTGCCGGTGACCTGTGTTTGTATGAACCCAGGGTGTCTGCCCACAGCACTTGACGAAGATTTCTTATCAGGGTTCTAAATACTTAATGAGATTCTTCTCTCGATCTGGATAAAGGTAGAACAATTGCTTGTAGTCTCCGTAATAATTACTCTTTAACTACGAAGAAAGCGGCTGGTTTTAAAATCATGGAAAATTTGAAGTAAGGGCATCTTTATCATTCTAATTATTTTTCTCCCGATCCCATAGTACTATTGCAGCTGAAGACAAGATGGTGCTTTCTCTTTTTGACAGATTGTTTTAAAATTGTTCTTCTGGTTGAATGTTGCCGTCATAATTGGCACCTTCAGCCTCATTTGGGGTATCATTAAAGTGCATTTTGAACGGGTGTCTTTGACAAAGAACCTGAGATTATTACAATGGTGATGACTCAGATATGTCTCTCTTATAAACTGGGTCATATTTATTTAAATAATTGACTACTTTCTACAATATCATGATAGGGTAGCATGTTAAAAAACATTCAGGTATATCATATAATTTATCACATGAATTTTTTATTGTTTTGAAATATTCATTTTCACTACCGTGGATACAGGTTGATGTTTTCAATGTTTCACGACCTTTGTTTCCGTCACTTCGGCAAGCCAGTAGATGGTCTTCAGGCAGGCAATCTTGTTCATCATCCCAGCTGTCACTGCTCACAAATTTGGTATGAAAACATTGATTTTATGTGCCCAAGTCTCCCTGCTCCCCGTAGGAAAATGCAGATGATTACACAAAATAATGAACCATTTCTTATTTGAATTATTTCAACCCAGAACGCTCGCATTATTTCCTAGGCCATAGTTTTAATGGCATTTTGAGATGGTGTGTTAGAGTTAAAGCTGTATAATATAAGAATGTAAAATTTGTATTTTAGGTTTAGATATGAGGTCAGATTTACGTGCGTTTGATATGAAGTAATCACAGCGGACATTCCCGTTAAGTACACTTAATATTCAGGAGTTGAATTAACATATTTCAGTAAGCGTTTCTAAAACACTTACAGTGCCGCGCTGTTTTACATAAAACCAATTCATTGCCAACAGCGATCCTAACCGCACACAGGATTTATATAACTCTCTACGAAAGTGAGAGAACACTTGGGTATGCTATTTATTTAATTAGGCTAGATTTTTACTAGCTGAAATCTCCATTTTGAGAACTGGAGGACAATTTAAGTCCCATTACTCCGTATCACTCGGGGTAAAATTATCAAAGTTTACAAGCTGTAATGAATATGAAGTGTTGATCAAAGGCAGTAATGACAGCAGAGATGGGAAATGACACTGTTAACTTCAATCTTGGTGCTAATAGTTCTACTATCAGGATACATTTGTTCATTAACGAGAAGCGATACTGTTGATAATAGATTCTCTGGAAGTGGTGCATGAATAAAGGATAAAATAAACTACTCATATGAAAGTGTGCTCCCACTCGTGCTAGTAAGTTTCTCATTCTTTTGATTTTGTGCAGTGAAATGGCACAATTGCCCTGTTCCTCTGGTGAAAAAGTTAATGTATTTTCTTTTTGAATGGATTTTTTAGAGAAAAGAAAAAAATACTTCTGTTTCTCTGCTTTTCCTTGGAAAGTTGTCGTTGTCTCGGTTTTTCCGTTTTGTTTTATTGTGAATTTCGTGAAGATTAATTACAGGCCTAAAAGCCGCTTGTAGGAAATTTTTCGTTTTGATTTTAAATACATTTTGACAATGGCGCTCAGCATTTTTTCGTAGTCGTTGTGAAACTGGGGTAGTCTCCAGTTAAATGCCTAATCCGCTGTCCCGTTGAGCCGACTCTTCTTAAATTTCTTGGTTGCCAGCGAGCCCATCTTTATCATTTTTATCATGACAATAAGTGACTCCTGAAAGTACAGGGGCTCAGCGGGAAGAGGGGGACTTCAACATGTTTTTTAATGTTCAGAGCAACGCACGGGTTGAAAGGTCAATTTGCAGTAATTCAGCACAAAAACACTACAGTCAACATTTGCCTCAAATCATCCGCAGCCTCTGTCAACATAAACTGGATGCAACATAAATTTCTTAGGCGCCTAACACCTTACTTTTTTGTGAAAACAACTTGAGATTGAATTGCAGTGAACGGGGTGTGTTTGGTTTTGTCTGAATCCCTTTAGGGCTTTCTGTGATTGGCCAGGAAAGGAGTGCCGATTATTATGATGAAATGTACATTTATATAACGTCTTGGTGTTCACTTCTCAAGCACACATCTCAATCTGTGTGTGGGAAATTCTGTTGCAGACCAATGGGCGTTGAAACTAATGCCCTGAATTAATCTCAACAAAATTCAACCTCGTCATTGCGTCGACTAAAATCCTAGACTTGGGGATCTTACACTCTTTATTTATGTTTTTTTCCTCTTTGACAGTTCTTTGTTAGCGGGGTGAATTTCAGTGTTTCGGTCGACAGAATCGAGCTCTTAGATTTGTCTTTAAAATGCTATTGCAGTAAAACGTTTGAATATTCTTAGGTTTTTGGGAGATCTGTTTTCCGACGATGTGAAAGAAAATTTGCACGGGGTATCAACAGTTCATAGTTTGTTATGTCTTCTGTTTCCACATTGCTCTGTTTAATTTTCTTACGAAGAAATCGTTTTTATGGCATTTTTATGACAATTTATGTTTATTCAAAACTGAATTGTGAGATTTTTCAACCACTGAACTAAAAGTTTAGTTTTATGATGTTGTTTTATTCTTTTGCAGGAGCACGTCGCAGCATCGGTCACTGCACGCTAGTTGTGCGGTCTTGCTTCAGCGACTCCCTAGGCTGAAGATAAATATTTGACCAAACTTTGAAATAACTTGTCAAATTAATTTTCTTCTTTTGCTACTTTCAGATGAAAGTAAAGATCAAAGCAAGAAACGTGGCGCTGCATTTGATTTGCGTTCCTCCCCAGTACAAACATTAGAACACGTCTTGGTGTTTCCGAGTAACAATTCTTCGGATTTACAAAGTTGATGTGGAGGGGGGAATTCTCACAAATACGTGGACGGAGGATATTTTTTATCTGTAAATATTTAATTAGATACAGTTGTAAAATGCTAAGATTATCGGCCATGGTGGTAATGTATTTTAAGGCAACAAGATACAAAATAAGATTTGTAATTCGTATATTAATTCGGAAGGATTAAAGAAAGATTATTTGTATTTTTACATTTTATTCATGACAATGATAAATTGTTTTTTGTATTGTATAAGCTAGTCGAGTAAAAAGAAATACTGGCATATTACGAAATAATATTGTATTAATTTTATTCTTAACAATATTCTGTGGTTTTGTATCAGTTTCGTTTTATTAAAATATTTGCCAACTGCCCTTCATAACTGTCTAAATAAGTAAACTTCTTTTGAGAATTTATTGAAAATCGATGGTAACCCTATTACTTCGCCAGTACAACTATGTCGTGTTTCTGAAACATTTTGTATCCGATGAAATATGAGACCATATTCGTTTGTATTTTGCTGATCTAGTGTCTTTTTACTGCCAATATCGTTCCCCATAATATTGTGCCGTGATATATTATAGCTCTTGCCCGAACGCGTAGTACGCTGTCTTTGTCTTGCCAACCCGCAGTCGTCCCTAAGTCTTTGCCTTGGTTGATCAGTTTCATTAATTTCGTTCATTGCTATTTGACTGCAGTGTGTGTATTTGAAAATATCTTTTATGTCTTGCGGTGATAAATGTTAAGTAGATATACTGATCGGAGTGTTTCGTGCGTAGAGCTTTAAAATCACCGTCCCAGCGCCAACCAGACTCGCTCATAACGCGCTCTGTGGAAATGAAGCTACGCTTTATGCGCCTTTAGTGGCAGTTTAAATTAAGGCAATGTATAATTTTCTGAGTAATTGCTGTTTGAAGTAAACCCCGAAATTATTTTGCTGTTGGATGGAAATCTCTATGGCCCGGGCTTCCGCGCGAAAAAGTCGAGCACGAAGGTCGAGTGCCTTCGGTCTTTTTCTCCGCCTGGGAGGTACATCTTCAGTCGAGCCGCGCCCAGCGGTAACGCACGTCATCTATAATTTGAAAAAGAAATCCAAATGTTTTCTTGCCCGTAAGCGCCATCGGATTGTGCAATCAGCGTTGTGGGACTTAATTACGCGTTTGTTACCATTGTTTTTTCGCCGTATGGTCATTATAAACTGGAGCCGTGGCAGTCTGAACGCTGGCTTAACGCGCCAAGCGTAAAACCCCCACCTGATTACAACGTAATTCTGGGATCAGTTAAATCTTCCGTAAATTCAATACAGTTTGGCCAATCAAAGCTGACCAAGTTCTAATCGCATTTCGTAATATTGTATGCAAAACATATGTGCCTTATCCTAAATGGTTACATTCGTTATTGGGATTAATTTTCCGGCTTGAAATATCGACTGAAAATAGAAATAGGAACAGCAGTATCTTGGCCTTCAAATATTTACATTTATTTTTTGTGTAATCTCATACAGGAAGGTCAGTGTTTCTTTTTTGTTTTGTAGAATTTTTGTAAATAGATGGTATCTTCTTTTTCATTGTCACTCTAACGGGAATGTCGATAAAATAAAAAGAATCAGACGGCATCTTACTGTCGTCAAAAGGCAACGAGGGCTTTTTAACCTAATCTATTTTTGTTCACCTGCCTCATAATATACGTGTGATTCACAGCCTACATCTTTGCTCCTTCTATTTAATTAACTTCGTTATCACTGTGTGAAGACACATTTAAATACAAACCCTGGCACGATGAACAGATAACTATTTGCCATGCTTGCGAACATTTTCACATTTCCTGTGGAAGTCGCCTCCTAGGAATAGCGTATGAATTATCTGGAAGGCTGTATGAGTGCTCATCATTAATTCCGGATTTGTTTTCTTTGCTGTGCGACTGCAGGTGCAACCCACGGAGATCATGCAAAGTAAAAATTGTGAAATTGTTGTGTTCAGTATAGTTTTCATGACAATGCTGTTTTTGCGGTGAACCTGTGGCTATGTGTGGCTGTCAACTGAAGATCGTGTTCTGCTAACTACCATGATTATCGCGGCAAGTGAAAAGAGGCACGCGCTCGCAGCTAGAGGAACAGCAGGCTAACAGTCGGCACGCCATGCCACGGGTTAATATTTCTTTTAAAAAAAGCTTCATTAGTCTCTCTCTCTCTCTCTTACTCACTCTCTTTCTCTCACTCTCTCTCTTTTTCACTCTCTCTCTCTTTCTCTCTCTCACACACGCACGCACACACAAACTACTAAAATGCTTTTTAATGCGTGTATGTTTTCGCACTTTATTTTCCCCATTATTATTAAGGCGTGGTAGGCAAATTATTTTGATAATTCGTAAATATCGTGTTGCATCTCGCTTTGAAGCGAGCTACATGTACGTGGTTAACTTTCTATTTCTGTTCTCGCGTGCAATATTTTGGCTAAAATATGACACGGAAAAAAAAGGAATAACGTGCGCGATAAGCAGGGTGTACTTTCTATACCTTAATTTTTTTAATTGGAATTTCTTTTTCGTCGAGAATCTTGGCAATGGTTATATTTAAAAAAAAAAAAAGGCAGAACGGAACTTGTGACTCGGAGTGCTCCGGATGAGGAGAAAGCTGCGGGGATGCTTCACAAAGCGCGATTGCCTTAGTCATGTCCGCACTTTCCACGTCGCATGTCGGGTGAAAGCTCTTCCCAGCATGGGCCCTCCGATACAAAGGGAAAGTTTTCGCCTAGGCATATTAACGCCCGCCGACTCCACTGCACCTCGCGCACGAAAACGCCGCTTGTTTCCAGATGACGTCTTAGAAGTTTAACGGCAGTCTCAATAGGTGGAGGTATCTCGCAGCGCCACTTTTGTCGCAAGGAAAATCCACTGTATCACACACTCGGCGACAGTTTTTCTGCTGCATTAGCTTCACTCTTTCACAACACGACTGGCGTGTAATAATTACTGTGCACTTATCCTAGGAGATAACACAGTGTGTATTTCACAAATATTTGAGTCTCAGACTGCTTTTAGTCGCCGCGAAATCAAATTCGCTTCTATGACTATTTGAAAACATAAAAAAGTGGAGACATTTTGCGGTGTTCATGCCCCGCGTGTTACGTGCTGTTTTATTTCGTTTTTAAGTTTATCGTCAATGTTTTGCTCCAATTTTTAGACATAATTTTGATTTTCTTTAATTTGTGTGTGTGGTTCCACTGCTTGTCTAGCATGTTATCTAATTCTTCGGATGGCCTAAAATCTAAATGATAGACCGGCAGGTAGAAAGAAATACAATATTAATACGGTGTGAAAAAGACCTCTGCCTGCGAGTGAGATCAACTCTAACTGAGCATGAATTGCGTAACAATCAGAAAATGCCCGTTATACGAGACGGTCACTATGCTGATGTTTTATTCATTTATTTATTTGTTTAATTATTCATTTATTTCTTTGTTAATACAACAAAAATGTCCATTGTACGAGACGGTCACTATGATAATGTTTTATTTATTCAATTGTTTATTTATTCATTTATCTCTTTGTTCCAACAACGAAAACCTGCGCTTTACAAAATAATTTATTTTGCAATTTTGGTCTTTTTTGTTTTATTTCAGTGAGCGTTTGTTATCTTCTGTTCGCGGTAAATGTGTTTTTTCTATGTCGTTTTCGATTTCTCTCGAAATTGTTGACCGTTAGCAAACTGCAGCATGCTTGAACAATACGTTAGGTGTTTCCTCAGTATGAGAAAGAAAAAAAATCGACTCCCTTTTTTGGAAGTGCCTTATGTTAGCCAACGGAGCGTAGTCAGGGAGCCGGGATGGCAGGAAACACGCTAGGCGCCAGTCAACTACACGCAGTCGCTTGTTTTTCTCGGCCTTTAACCCTCATGATTTGGCGAGGGCAGAAGAAGACTAACAAAGAATTAAGTTGAGTTAGCGAGGTCATGATCTAACAACGCATAATGTTCGATCCTACTCTGGGAGTTGCAAGCAAACAGCGGCGCGCGCTGGAGCGGCCTGGCGCTGGCGACAGGGCCATCGATCGTTTACGCCCGACTACCCCAAGACTTGACCCCGAGCTCAAACCTTCATTTGCCGCTGAAATTAAAACAACTCTGGCGTACACGACTCAATAACTATTATGAAGTAAGCTAAACACTGCTTAATTACTTAAAACTAGCGAAGCTCCTGAGCGAGCGCGAGGTTACACTAAGTTTAGTTTCTAATCAATATATCCTACTGAACTCTACCACGACAGACCTGACCGAACCTTTCACTGTTTCCGTCATGTGTTTGGACTGAAACAACAAAATTTCCACGTAAGGTGACAACATTCTTAATCCCTCACGAGCAAAGAAAATTGCGATTGTAGTATTTTTTTCCTTTTGAAAATGATGTCGGAAATGGAGCATACAGCTGTAAAAAGAAAGAAGGTGTGAGTACTTATATTGTTTTACTTCCTCTTATCACTCTTATGACTGAAATAAGTTATCGTTTTTTAAATTTTTGAAGATAAGAACAAAAAGTGACAAAATACGGGCGATATCTCAATTGAGGCAAGTAAATTACTTCAGATAAAGTCTATAAAAATGGGAATGAAATTTCCACCCGCATGCGACTCAAATAAAAACAATCAAGCAGACAGTATATGCATGCGTGTCGCCTTACATTTAGCTAGAGCAAAACAATAGATAGAAAAAATTATAAACCTTATGATGGCAATTTACAAGTCTTTGGTCTCTTAATGGTCCGTTTTATTGGTTTTGCTTCTCTTGAAACGCTTTCAAAAAAAACGCGTGCATTTTTTTATCGGGGAACCCGAGAGCAGAAAGAAATCATTGATGCCTAGAGCGTTCTTTTGTCAATAAAATGCTGGGTCTGCACTCATTTGTAAATAATTTAATTGATGAGGTGAACTGACATCATCTGAGGCCTTTAAAAAATCAAATTCTTTTGCCCGCTTTCCTCTTAATGTAAGCACACAAGGTGTCCGACGTCAGCTGTTCCCGAAACCGTTTTTCTCCCTTACAACAGGAAGTTTTGCATTGGCTTTTGACCAGTGCATAAGCCATGCTTTGTATACAATTAGGAAAGGATCAAGAAGTTTTAGAAGTACACTTTTTCAGGATCAGTGAACAGCTTCTTGACCGTTTAAGCCTGATCAGATCCTATTAGTTAAAATCATGCTTAGTCCTGTTAGACAACAAAACATATTGAGCGGTTAATATTTATGTGATGTGTTTAGAAAAGCTGTCAATCTCGAGTACCTCATTGATACAAAACTATGACACATAGGAAAACTTCCCTGAAGCCATAATCTCAATGTTAGACCATAGTCAAAGCAGCCATTCAGTTCCTATGAAATGTACAATGGTCTCTTGCTCATTGCAGTAGTTTTATTTCGGGTTTTGTGGCAAAGTAAACAAGATAGTGTCACTCAAAGACGACAATCCGTCTATGAAGTAGCATTTAGTATTTGTTGAGTGCAATTTCGTATTTGTTAAAATGCGGCAGTGCTGCGCGGAGTAGTGGGCAGAAGGCATTGTTGAGAGAAGAGGAGCGGAGCCACGTTGGCCTTGCCACGTACGAGCCGGGACAATGCCTCTGTCACACCCGATCTTTCTTCACGCAGCTGACTGGTCATTTGGACCGAAAGCCACCCGCTGTACGGCTATGGGAAATTTCTCCGTCAGTGAAAAGTGATTACATCAACAATAAAAATGCACATTACAAAAAGCTGCGATCCATCCTAGAACTGGGAGACGCTGCCAGTGACAATAAAAACGGCTACCCGTTTGCCCATGTGGCCCATTATAGCTGGAGACATAATTATGACATTTGCTGTATTTTATGAGCTCGGGGTCGAGAGATATATGACAAATCTACAATTTTGTTCGATAGAATAGGTATATCGTTTTTAGAGCAAATGTGTAGTAGTATGTCACTGTCATTCAAGGGGTTATACAGTACTTTTTAAGAAATTCACAAAAAAAAAACGTTGAAATGTTACACTTTTTTAACGCGAGAAAAATGTTTTATTTTTCTTTCTTTTTTTTCGATACGAAAAACCAAAAACATTTCCGTTTATCCACATTCACCCTTTATCCACACTGACACAAATACGCTATAATGTTAATAACGATAATATACAGTTTAATTTGAAATAACACACACCAAAATTAAATTAGAGAGTCTGAAGTGGTAGTGAAGATTTATCCGTTAACTGGAAAATAAAAAACAATGGGAAGAATGCGCGTCGATGCTATAATTACCCATGACGCGCCAGTCTAATGCTTCTGTCTCCAAAACTGCTAAAATCGAACCCCCTGTTCTGCTCTTTACACCAGCAATAGCCAAAACTTCGGACCACAAAAAAAGAGGAAGTGAAGTTTCTTAGAACTTGATAAGCGATGGTTTCACTGAGTGAAACAGAATGTTATGGAAAAGAGAGCGACTTTTCCGCAGCTCTTTTGTTTCTCGTGTTGGCGGCCGGGCTCACCCAAATGATTTCTTTTGACAAAAATGAACAGCAAATCCCGCTGACATTTTTGTGTAGTCAATATTGGTGTCTAGACGGTGTTTACTGGGATAAACACTTGCGAATCAAAGCGTGTTTGCCTTTGAAGCCTCACCGCTGTGGCGCAAACCGTTCACGCAGAGGCTTTACCACTTTCACTGGTCCCGCGATGCTACAACATGGCAACTGCAAACACATACACTCATTAGAAACTGTTTGATCGAATTTGTAATTTAAATATTCCCGAGGTCCTACTTTGAAGTTGCCATGTCCGTACAGAAGGAAAGCAAACAGCCGGGGCCACGCACAGCTGTTCGGAAGGAGCCCCACCGCATACAACTCAGTTTACACGTTCACACATTTAACGGAGGATGCTCCGCCCCGCTCATCATTGCGTCGCCAGCACAATTGCTTTAACACACAGGTAATGCAAGGCTACACTAACGACCCGTGGATGGCAGAACAACTGTGTAAACCAAAATTTGATGCTCGTAAAAAAACCCCGAAGCCTTTGATGCAAGAAAAACCCGATAGAGTTACGATCGATTTGTAAGGTAAAGATGAAAAATAAAGAACTGTATCCGTGCAGTATTCCCATCTGTTTTTCAGTAGATTAATCGGCCAGTGTGGGGATGGCGCCACGGCGATCGTGTTCAAACAGTACGCCGTATTTGCGGGTCGTGCCTACACAATACCCTTTCACACCTTGCCTGTTTACGGGCCTACTTTGTAATTATGTTAACACTTGAATGAATCAACATCTTTTCTTCCGATCACAATACTGATTAAACCAGGGCGGAGTAAGAGTGTGAACACTGTCAGTCACACACCTAATTAACGAGGCGAACACCTTGTAAACATATACACAGGGAACAAAAGACGGACGACGATTTGCCACTTTAATGACCGCTTAATTTGCCAACCTCTTTCTTGTCAACTTGACGGCTATTACCAGTGGTCAGACGTTAGTTTGTCCATGTTGGTATGAAAGACAAGCTGGCGGCAGAGCCTTAATCTTTGCCCCCTATGTCTTTAGAACAAAAGCGCCGGCCGCCGACCTACAGCGGACAGGGAGACTGCGAGCAGTCCGTCCGATCAATACGGTCAATAGAATACACCTTTCCAATTGTCTTCTTACGGAAATTACAAACCTTTAAAAGACTATCAAAGAAATGGAAATGTCTCACAGGGTTTTATTTAAAATAAAAAATAATATGAGTTTCTCAACTGGGAGTGAGGGCAGGGAAATGTCACAGGAATTCCGATCCTTGTGCTAGGCGTGAAGTGTATTAAATTTGCCCGATTCCCGAGGAAGTTTGAATAGCATCTCCACCTAGACGTGCTTTTATTGTGAGCTGGCGCCACTGCTACTTAAGCTTTTACGTCAACCTGGTATGCAAGAATAGCTAATCACTTTTATGTTGCGCTGTTAATTTTCACGCTTTTTTCAATCCGTCTTTACACAGTACTTCATAACAGTTATCAGAATTCGATAGCTCGGCGAAGTCGCGTCGCCAGGAAAAAATGTAACTAATAATTTCACCTGCGGTTACGGCTGAGAATTTATGTACGCTCCGTCCACTCCGCTAACTATCTAAATATTATTCCAGTCAACGTTTAAGAGCTATGCCAAGTGGTGTACGGTGAATGTAAACTTGCCCGTGTTTAACACCTCTTTCTGTCAGTCACGGGCCGGGGGCGGACACTGCCTCAAATAAATCATACTTGGCGTAAACAATTTGACTTTCGCGTTCCCACAACCATTTCACCCGAAAATGGAAGTAGAGGGGTTAAGGGTGACACAGGGGTGCGTTCTCCGTGAATATTAGCGGTGCTTTTGTTTTGAAGTTAGTTATGCATTATTTAACTCACGGCGACATCGGTATTGGCTGGCGCATCCCTGATGTTGACATTTCGTCACATTCAAACAATACAATCAAGAGCTGTTAGGCAGTCGACACCTCGACTGGAGAATGAGCTGCCAACTCCACGCCTAAGCCATCCTCTTATTGGCTGTCAGCTGACGAGAGCCCAGGATTGGCCAATCACAGCACAGTTCCTGTTAAGCCACACTTCACTAGCTGAGTAATAACATAGTGCGAGTGATGGAGCAGTAATAACATTGAATTCGCTCAGCAGGCTCGGAAACTACACACTCGGCTCCATGATCGTTGATACAAGAACATCGGCCATGGCTTTTAACCCATTCTTACTTCACCGACACACGGATTACAGCATGAACTCTATCCTGTCTCAGCCGCACTGGCCGTCAATGTTACACGCCGGCCACCATCCTGGCTTATCGTCCGCGATACTACCGAAACTTCAACAGTCCATGTCACGCTCTCCCCTCACTGCCGCCGAGCTCCTGGCCCAGCAGCAGCAGCATCTCCGCCCCCTTCGTACACTTGAGCCCCCTGAGGCCGACGTACAGGATGACCCCAAAGTGGAACTAGAGGGCAGGGACCTGTGGGATCAGTTTCATAATATTGGAACAGAAATGGTGATCACAAAATCTGGGAGGTAAGGAAAAACTTCTAAATTGAAGACTCATTAAAAATTCATTTTACTACTTTTTTCTTTAAAAAAGTTGTAAAAATGTATTTGTCAAAAATAAGATTTTTTTATGTTTTTATAGATATGAAGGCGGCATGATTAAGCGATAGTTGAACTGATGTTCAATTTTCACACACAATAATAAATAATAACACTTTAAAAGTATGTAGATATATTGAAGAGTGGTAGGAACGTGTCACATAAAAGATAGGGAAATTAACACTTGTGCTGAGATATATAAAAAAAAACTTGTTTATTTTACAAAAAAAAGACACCGACAATAATTATCCTTGTACTGCTGTAAATGTCATGCACAATATTAATGTCTTTATACACCTGCGCAATATTATTTCTGATGTTTGTATTTTATATATTATTCATTGTTAATATTTGTATAAATATCAAATGCATGGCTTCAAGTATAAATAAAAAATTACCATTCTAATTCAGTGACATTTAAAATAATGTTATCGACAAATAGAACTCGATAGTAAAATATTAAACATATTTGAATAGTCGGACAAGATAATAGTAAATCCTACGCACAAAACACGTAGTTACTGGTGGAAAGAAACCGCAGTTTTCGCAAGTAATATGAAAACTAGACCATTTCCTATGACCCCAAGACCGCGTTGACGCTGGATTTTGCGGACACATGTGTAAGCTTTGGGTACTAAGGAGGCTACAGGGCACTTGACTCATTGTTCCCTATTCACACATCATTGAGCGGGTCGCCGCGAAAACAAACGCACTGAGGCCTAATCAAACACTTCAAACTCATCCTATCATCAAGAAAATGGAATTAAAGCCACCGATGAATAGCCAGTAATTACAGCTCTCCTCAATGAGCGGCGGGGTTATCTTCGATGATTTGTGCGTAGCTTTGGTTCTTTGATACGAGTGAAACGTAGTTAAAAATCCCGGCCGTAATATGAGGCGTCTTCGTGTTGTATTGTGTGGTCAAATAACATTGACAATGTGACCAAATGACCAGTGTTCGCAGAGGACTTTAAAAGGACAAACTTGACGTCTGCCTGTGTGATTTTTTTTTTTTGGACGAATTTTCGTCGCCGTGTGAACTTTCTGATACACTGGATATTAGTGAGCAACTGGCTAGCCCCTACTTAGGTTCTAAACTGCTCGCAAATCATTGGGCTTTAAGTGTCGCTGACTCCTTTATTAATTGAAATGAACAGCTCTTGTCTAGCGCGTCTGGCGCCATCTCAAACGTTTATTTTCCCTAAACCTTTTTATTTTCCGCGAAATTTCTGTATCATTGCTTTTTATGATTATTAATATGTCAAGGCGAGTTAGGCATTCTCTGATGTATTTTCACACCGGGTCTGCTCATTGAAATAGTCGATCAAGCGTGCGTATTTCTTCCGTAATTGATTAAATAATTGGAATAATGATCATGAGAGGAGTGAAAAGAGCGAGGTAATGAAATGTGTGCGCTCGGAGTAAAGAAGCTGACATTTTCCATTATTGTCTTACGAGAAAGAGAATGTTGCTCGATTTCACGACGCCAGATTTTTTTATACTGGAATAAATAGATTGAGTTAAAAACTCAGTCGCCGGAGCCACCGCAGCGATGATGGCAGTTGCGAGTGGCGTGCGTTTGTCAGGAGGTGTGAAACTACTCCGCTACCCTGCTGAGAGTGTAACGCCTTATCAGTTCCGGCCAATTGCTACTTTGATGACGGAGAAATGAATCTGTCGGTCTCGTCTGGACAGCGCACTACTTACAAAGCAGCTTTCCCCCCTTATTACGCCCATTTTCACGGCCAGTGGACAGCTATCTTTGCAATTATTCCGACCATTAAACGCACCGAAAGATTAGTAAAAATTTGTCGCACCATCACGACATGCAGTTTGTATGATAAAAATGTAAATTCGAGGCATGAAATTACTCTTATTGCTTCATCTGTACTGAAGAGGTGTTATCAGTTATCTGTTCACAAGGTAGACGTTAATTTTGGCCGTTACCAGTGCGTTAATTACCGCCTTTCAACGTTTCTCTCACTGACCAGGCCCTCCCAGGAGTTGATGATGGAGTTTTTCGCCCCTAATTGTACCAACCGCCGCTAAAATTGTGCACCGAAAGTTCCGGCGCCGCCACTTCAAGTTCCTTCTTTCCTAATTATAGAGCTGTTAAATGTACTATTTTATACTGCGATAAGCGCAACGTATCTACTTTCGATTAAGAAAAGGCGTACTTGGCATTGAAAGAAAAAATATGTATATCACAATTGAAGTTTGCCCAGGAAATGTATTAAATTTAAATAGGCTATTTAGAAAAATGTTTTACAAAATTACGTGCGAAAAAATGAAATGATTTTGACAAACATCTTAACGTCGTTTTTAAAAAAATTCATGAATAAAAGGGGTCTTTGCCAAAATAATTAAAACATAATTCATTCAACAATTTCTCTGTTTGACGCTTGCACCATGACCACAGCGTTTAGATACGCGTTTACGTGTGAAATCTGATTTCACTTTTAAGCGAGAAATACGCTTTATCACGAGTTACCATCGATGCTAAGTGTAGCAATTGTTATCGTAATTTTTGAATAATTTAGATATGCATCAAATAGTTATCATTAAACAAGGGCAAATCGTGGTTTTGAATTCTCCTTTGGGATAACGCAAAGAAAATTGTCAAAGAGTGCAAAATCTTTAGATGTGCATTAATTTGCCCGATTCATTCAATCCGTTCTTTAATAATAAAAATAAAATCAAAACAAAAATCAAGATTCTTAAACTTAACAGTTCGTTTTTTTTTTCTACACTAGAGCTGCAATTTTTAACACATTTATTTCCGTACTCTGCTGCAATATTCAAAATATACAACGAAGGTGGTATATGCTAATTCATTAGGGATTAGCAGCACCTTTAAAAACAGTAATTTAAGATTCCCTCCTTTTACTAATGTGGCTAGGTTTTTTATTGAAAGAAGCTCAGATGTCGGTATTTCGGCGCTTCTTAACAAAAGGACAGATAGAAGCATGGTTTTCTTGACTCTTCTTTTAGGAATCGATACACGAAAAACAATTTTTTGGTAAAAGAGGGTACGAAGTGAGGGGTCCCTTCTGTGTTATTTATATTGAATAATTTCTAAAAGAGACTATTTCCTCTTTTTTATCTGCAATATTCACACAATAAAACAGTTTGAAAATCACGCCTTTTTGCTATATGTTGTTCACTCGCAGTTAGGGTAGATAGGCCTATTTTTTCGAAAGTCTTTATATAATCAGAAAGTGCAAGGAAGGTGATCGTATATTATTGTGGTAGAATTTTAATTGGAATTACAAAATAATATTTTACTTAATATTTATGGATCACGTCTTGCTTACATTTTTATGATTTTATTGTGCTGCACTTTAAAAACTTAAATTAAAGACCTGAGAAATTGCTGAAATTAAAGACCTGAGAAATTGCTGAAATTAAAGACCTGAGAATCTGTTGGCTGGTCTTTCCACCCAAATATTTAATTCTTAAGTTTATCATGCGCAATGTTTTTTCTAATATTTTTGGCTAGTGATTTGACTTCAAATGTTGTGAACTATTTTACTTACACATTATTCAATCAGACTTTTGAAATTGAAAAAAAAATGTGGACTTAAATGATCAGAAATAAATTTTAGGCCTAACCTCTACACATTTTTCTCTTATTTTACAGGCGCATGTTTCCAGCGTACAAAGTCAAAGTGTCAGGCTTGGACAAAAGAGCCAAGTATATCCTATTGATGGACATAGTCGCCGTAGACGACTGTCGCTACAAGTTCCACAACAGCCGCTGGATGGTGGCGGGGAAAGCGGACCCGGAGATGCCTAAAAGAATGTACATTCATCCCGATTCCCCAGCCACCGGGGAACAATGGATGCAGAAAATCGTATCTTTTCACAAGTTGAAGCTGACCAACAACATTTCCGACAAACATGGATTTGTAAGTAGATTCTTTGTAAGTGAATACCCTTTTTTATAATCAAATATTTTCAGGGCAAAAAGTTTAATCTTATAAGTAATAAATATAGAATGTTTGATTATATCTCATTTTCACTATCATAACGGCGATCTGGTGAATATTATGGAAAACGAATTGTTATTATTCATCAGAAAGAGAAATATTTGGTCCAGATTTTTCAAATAATATTATTTCCATTATATACAAACATGATCTCTGGATATTTTCGATACGGAAAAAGATGTCTTTTGACATAATTTGTGAATAGTTAGATTAAATCGGTTTTTACCTTGGGAAAATAGATGGAAGCGACATGCACATACGCATCCTATACATAATTGTATTCAGTGAAGCCTTTATTTGATTCTGGCGAAGCGTTCATTTAAATGTTCTATTTTCCCATTTCCTTTATTTGTATTTAATCCTATCAAATATTTATTCTTCTGTGCTAATTTAACAGTAACGATGTACGTTCTTGTAATGCCCATCGCGGAGAGAAAAGAACTGCTCGTTTCCTCTGCTCTCTCTACATTTTTTATCCCTCGCCTTACTAAATGTTTGATCCGCTGACATCTGATCTAATTTTCTGCCTCTTGCTACCGACTGTTTACATGTTAAACATACACAAGCAGAAGAAGCAAACGCGAACAGAGACAAAGTCTTGAACTCTGTATTTATCCAAGGCGACAAAACTCACAGAACAAATGTGGGAAAAGACGGGAAAAACATGACACCTCGGCTTAATAACTATTTACAATTATACAACAAGTTACAGCAATAATACTTTCACAAGTAGCATATTTTGCCTTTAAACACTCATTAGCGTCGGGAGCAAGTACACTCCCATGGGCTAGAGACCGCCGGTTTATTTGCTTGGTTAATACGATCCGAGCCCCCAACCGGCCGTGGGTCGCCCTATCGTGTAGCAGGCTGGCTGGAGACGCACGGGTTTTGCTGGCTGGGAAAGCAACCTGACAGCCTATTCGCGTGTTGTGGAGTGATTATATTACACCGTCCTCCCTAATTGCCTTGTAACCCAACCACTACTTAGAGATAGAACGGCTGAGGGCGGTGGGTTTGGCGTGTGACAGTTCAAGCTGAACCTTAATCGGTGATCCGTGTATGCAAGGGAAAAATCATATGTAATAGGCTGTAAATTAACAACATCGATGGCTCTGTTGGCCTGCTATCAAGCTTTAACTTTAGGGACGCCGGCAGCATGTTCGGTTAATATGTTGCGATCTGATCTCGTTTGTATTTTTCATGAGTAGCACTCTCGGGCGCGCAGAAAATGCCGACTAGTCTCAGATTCTCCCGATTACGAGCGCAATTGCTCGCCTACACTTCAAAGTGTGAAATCTTCATAGCTTTTTGTTCTGGCGCCCCAAGTCGGCAGAATTATAAACGTCACGTCAGCGAGTAAATAACTGTAAATATTTTATGAAGTTAAAGGGAATACTCTATACTCCTGGCGCCAGGTTGAATTATGATTTTATAGGCAACCCGCCAGAGCGAAAAAGAACTGCGATGTCTTGGCCATCGTGCGCTCCTGCCGCACACGCTGCAACCGTACGTTCGCATACGCACCTGTCTGGCTGTTTTGGTGAAGCAGACGAGATATAAATCTCACTCTTTAGTCTTAGGGTTGGCTTGGCTGCACAGTGCCAATGACTATAGAAGTCACCCGGGTCAGCATTTTCCAATATCAATAATATAAGAGTTAATTTGAAGTAATTTCTGGGATTTATTTTTTCAATTTAAAACCACATACTTGGGTGCGAAGTAGGTTATAAATTGCGCTGCACATGGCTATTACCTTCCGGTGCTGCAGCCCCCTAGTCTGGCTACACCGAATGCCACAATTATCAGTTGTTAATATATTAGCCAGATTTTAACTGGAGGCTGAGTTAACTAACGATCGGCGACACATCCCGCGATTTTTCTCTAAACATTATTATTATCAGTGATCATTACAGCGGATTGCAGCGGATTTGGCGCCTCTGCGATATAGATAAGTTATTTGGCAATACCACAGTGTCTCAATTTCCCAAACTTTCGGAGGGGCTGTGCGTGGTGTGATCTCCGTTTTACCCTTACGTCATCAGCAGTGAACGGGGCATCATGCTGCAATTGACCAGATCCAAATTATTTCCTCCTGAAAATCCAGCTGCATTTTTTTCTCCGTGATTGTTGATAATTTGTCTGATCTTGTCAAAAGCAGAGGGTATTCACTTATTTTCAATTTAGATTTCAATGTGAATGGGGGAAATTACTGAAGTGAACGGCTGAAAGTAAGCTTTCATCGTGCCCTAAATTCTCTGTGTACTCGGTGTCCTGTGCCGAGATAACAGCAGACTACTGTCTTAATGAAACAATTAAACCTCCTCACTGCGGCCACGAAACAACTGTCGACAATTTAAAGATGTTCGAAAACATGTTATTGTGAGTTAAGTGTGGCCAGGAGTGCTCTTTAAAAAACGATCAGTAGAAATCTACCTTGCTTGCTTCATGAGTTTCACACTCGCTGACGACGCTAATGCACCGGTCCTTAACAATCGGACCTGTTATGCTGCCCTTAAAAAATGATAGTTTCTGCTGTTAGTGATTGTGAGGATACGTATTAACCGGTATTTTTCTCACTTTACCTGTCGTGTCCATGTAAATAATGGGGCCTTGCACGGATAGCTTTCAATAATGAAGCAGTTGATCGAACAGTTAGGCATTGTTTTATCCGTCAAAGAAGTACAAGGACAAATCGTTAGTCACACGTGCGCCACTTAATTCATCGGACTGACATGTTACTGTCAAAATTGTTTGATGGGGTGACACGGTTCTCCGTCTTTAAGACTTAACTTAGGTCTGGGTTAAATTTTTTACCAATCGACTATAAGTCCAAGGAAAAACTGTATAAAAGAAAAATGAAATACACAGTTTTGAGTACAATATATGATACAAAGATATGGGATAATTTGCCTTTTTTTTTTCAGAATTGCTCTTATTGGGCAATTTTTTCTTCTGGTCGAATTAAGAAATATTTTAGGTAGTCGATTCAGATTTGCTGAATGGAATAAAATCGATACTAAATTAGCGAAACTTCTAAATTGCTTTAAATTCGTTATCGGAATAATTATACTTTCCCCTCACGTCAAGTGTCGGAAATTCAACACTTAAGCGCTGAAAAAAATGGTTGATTTAGAAAACGGTTTTTTTTTTACAGCCGGGTGTTATCCAAGATTATTCAATAAAGATGCCAAATAAATACTGTAGGCATATTGAATGTTCACCGTAATTTTGAGGTTTCTGAAGTAATGAATTGAATTTTTCTGTACTTCTTTTTTTACCGATTCTGTTCAGTAACCACACTACATTATCATCGATTGTCCAAGCCAGATAAATTACATTTGTAATATCGAAATACGATGAGGACCGTTACTGTCGAGTAAATGCGAACAAATATTGACTTCCAAGAATACACTGTATATATTTTTTAAGTTCGTCAAACTTAATTGTACCTTTAGGGAAAATATTTGATCCCATTATATTGCACAATCTGTTGTAAACAATGGTCCCACTTGATTAATGTGTTCATTTTGTTATCTTTTACAGACAATTCTCAACTCCATGCACAAATACCAGCCTCGTTTTCACCTGGTGCGCGCCAACGACATTCTGAAGCTTCCGTATAGTGCATTCAGAACATACGTGTTCAAAGAAACGGCATTCATTGCAGTGACAGCATACCAAAACGAGAAGGTAAAAATGCCAAATATATTTACACACACATATATTCCATATTGTATATCACAAATAGTTGTTTCATACCGATTCCTATGTTAAGGTCTACGGTAGATTGTGATGTAGTAGTGAATGAAGTAAAGGAGGCCAAGCTGGTCATTTCTAGTAAAATCTGCATAGCGTAGTTGCGTGATTAAAAGAATCAATGCCCCAGGTTTTTTGATGGAGTCACTCCCATGATGCAGCGCAGTTTGTGATACCAGTCCATTAATTCCATCTACCGCAAACTCGATGGGAATGTGATAAAAGATTACAAATTGATTCCGCTGAATGTTAGATTTAATGATATTAGTTCCGGCACGAGATTGTAATTTTTAGTCTAGTCTCTGTTCTAGTTTTAATGCTCAATTGTCATTTTAGTTTAGTCTCTGTGGTAGTTTTAATGCTCTGTTCAAACAAGTCCTGCAGACTTGTGTGTAAATTATTTTTAAAGCGAACCAGGATCATTTCCCTTTCGTTGAATTATCACTCCTCTAGAAAACCGAGGTGTTGTCTGAGAGCAATTTTTGTCTTCAGCGTACGTACGTTTCGATTGTCACCGTTAATCAAAGTGCGCCGTCACTCTGTCGTCACATTGTGACAGAGTTTACGTGCGGCCGTGCGAACTAGCTTCCGTGAGCGGTGTGAAAAATGGGTGCCAGGGGGAACCGGGGGGACAACCGCGAATCAGAACGAAATTTACAAGTAACTCCCCCCTTCCCCGTGATGAGTAAGTTTCTTGACAATGGGACAGAAAATATGAGGGATGGTTTTACCTTGGTGTTGTGTGGTAATAGCGTGTTGACTTGTGTTTCCAGATCACCCAGCTCAAGATTGATCACAACCCATTCGCCAAGGGATTCCGTGACACCGGGGGAGGCAAGCGGGAGAAAAAGTAAGTATTCGAAAAATTCCTCTTGTTACCTCTCGTATACTTATTAATTCTCTGTGTCTATATAATTCATTGTTAAACATGCAGTGTGTGGAAGTGAATACAGCAGATTACTTCATGTAGATCTAGATTTATTTTAATATTAATACTGCGTGATGAGAGAGAGAAAAAAGCGCGCATCAAAAGAGATCACATTTCGCATACTTGCAGTAGTCAGTTTGCTAGTGAGAGCTAGAGAATCCATACAAATCAAGTCAATCATAGACGTATACATGAGATAGTCGATGAAGCGGGTGAAAAAAAAGCCAGCAATAAAAGAAATCAGGGCACTGGTTTTCGCCTACCCGCATCTCCTCTCTATATTATTACTTGCACTCTTTACAGCAGTAGGAGTTTAAAATGTGTTTCTTCCTTTTGTTTGTGTGTATGTGCGCGTGTTCTGCTGGTTTTACAAGGCGATAGTGCACTCATCAAATTAGTGAAACTTCCCGGCACATCAACCACTGATAAAGCGGCGCCTCAGTTGCGCCTGATCGCGTGTGCGAGGAATGGGCAATTTACGAGAAATTTGAGCTATTTAGTCGTCTTGTTCATCTATCTCGCCATTGCGATTCTAAAGTTCCTGGCTCCCTCTGAGAGGAAGAGTAAATTGTTTGCGTTGGCGCTGGGATTATGGCTGAAGTTGTGTTGCCAATCCGGCCGACTACAGTAATCTGTTTGAACATTTTATCGCCAGGTGAAACATTGATGTCAGGGCTCGTTGAACTTTGGGATTACACAGTTTGCCGTGCAACAAGTGCCTCTACAAAAGAGATTTGTATACAGGGTCTAGAAAATAGGATCAGGGAATATTCTAACGCCTGGTGTCTGCCTTGTTATATACATTTCTCTCTCTTTCTATCTCATCACCTGCCCTCATACAATAATCCGTGAAAGCTTACAGTTAAAAAAGGCTCAAACGAAGAAGCAAATATGGGACAGAATACGAAATTAAAATACGGGTCATATTTTAAACATTTGTCTTGTAGTAATAATAAAAGTCAACATTAATTATTATTTGCAAACTGTTTTTTCGCCCAGGCGCCTGATGGCCCAGCAGAGTTTGGCAGCGCACCCTCCCAACAAGATGGACCCTGACGACAGTCTCCATAGTGACGATGAGGATAACGAAGAAATCTGTGTCGTGGAGGAGGACGAGGAAGAAGCCACAAGAATCGCGGATCAGCTGAGAGGTAGATGTTTGCGTTTTGTATTTGGTCTACCTACTAAACATTAGTCCGTACAGACAGCTTGGCTAATAGGATTTCATATAGATACAGCTTACCATACCGCCTTATTGACTCTGGAATCATCATGCATATTTAAAGATAGTAAGTGAGAATCAAACACCATCGCGTAATGTAATTACAGAAAGCTGTTAAGAAAGATATTTTGTCTACTCCCATGTTTTGTTCTTTTCATCACGTATTCATGAATTGTTCAATTTTTTTTCTCCAGAGAGTTCAGGGCACTCGCCAGTCGCGGCAGACGAGATGAGAATGCCCGAAGTAGATGAATCAATTAAAGAGCCGGTGCACCGTGACTCTCCCCCCAGACACCCTACCACTATTTCCGATAACAACTCACAAACGGAGAAAATCTCCGAAAAATCTCCAGAAATAGCTAATAGAGAGAACACTTCACCGAATACTGTAGGTTCGACAGATTTAAGGAAAGAAATCGAAAAGGAACGTCGGTCTTCTTCTCCAAGCAGGCGACACCATGACACTTCAGAAAAGGCACTCCATGATGACTCGTCGTCTCATCCAGAGCACAATCATAAACCAGTCAAAGAAGCCAGTCCTCCCAATGTCACTGTGATTCAACCCTCAGCTAGTCACCCCATGTTCTCGTACCTGTATCCTCCGGGGCTCTACCCCAACATGACACATCACATGCCCTTCCACATGGGCCATTTACTGAACGGGGCCACGGCTCCCCATGGACTTTCCCTCATGCCTTCGTCTTCTGTCCCCGGGGACTTGGCAGGACACTTACCTCACGACGCCGCTCAAGCCGGGCTGTCCCATTTGACTTCAAATTTGGTGCTAAGTGGCCAGTTTACCATGGCAGGCCACCCTATGTTACAGCAGTATGGGCTGTCGGACTCTCATCCCGCCTCTGGTGCTTATTTACACAGCCACTTGGGCTCCTTGTTCTCCTCGCGAGCGGGGCACAGGTTCACCCCGTATACGTTGCCCGTCACCAAGACTACAATGTCCACGACGTCGTCTCCTCTAACAGCAGCAGGGCTTCTTTGCGGAGACGCGTTTCCACACACAGGCGGCAGACAATCGAACTCTTCGCCGCGATCCGCTAGCCCCGTGTCCCCGAGAAGGCACCCCTCGACGGGGAATACACCTGCCAATGAACTGAAAAGTATTGAGCGTATGGTGAACGGATTAAATAGGAGGCCAGAGGCCATGCATATTGAGAAATGAAATGTAAATGTCTAGGAAAAAAGATTGTCTCAAAGGTAGCGGGACACTACTTGAGTGTTCTGTGACATTCAAAATGTGCAATGACTGAATGACTGTCATCTTTGCGGCCGTCTGATATTACTTTGCTGCTATTTTACCGTTGTCCTCAGAAAAGCACAGTTGCAATACGATCCGTTATCATTGATATGTTAAGTGATTATACGCACGCTGCTAGTGCACTCTTCCGCACGCAGGAAACGCTTTCTCGGCACCAGCCTTACACTGCCGGAGACATTTATGACAGAAATGCCTCAGATTTCTGTCAGGTTTGTTTTCTTAATTCATTAATGCTCACAAAAGCTTTTTTCGTTAGAATGAGAGGTAATAATCAGGTCGCCAAATCAGTAAATTTACTTTTTATTCGTGTTTATTTCGTCAGGGTAATTTCCTTGCTTCATTCTAGCTGAAGCGCATTGAGCGGTGGCAATTTGCTGTAGTGCGGAAGTTCGGGGCGCTATGAATTACAGCCATCGATTTTTTAGCTCAGGTTTCATTCATGCCTTGAAAAGTAATAAACCTTCTCCAGGTAAGACGAGGAAGGAAAAACCAGCAAGAATGAGTTTTACACACTTAACTTCTGATTAAAAGATTCTTTTGTGAATTTTAGTTTGATCGAGACTAGTTTGTTCTCAATAATACCAGTTGTCGCACAGATCTACGGTCACACACGCACGGTGCTGCTGCGAAGCCTATACTTTTAACTTGCGAAATCAGGTCTCTATTAATAATTGATGTTTTCAGTGTTTGCACGAGTGTCACCGTCGAAGTTGACGGCTGTCACCGCTAAGCTACTGGTAGTAGAAAGCAGCTGGGTTGGAAGGCTTAACGCCTCCCACTCTAGCTCCCTTCCGAGCTGATAGAATATTAGGGGCCCGAATATTAAACGACGATCTGGGGCGTACGCAAACACCATGTGCCAACCTAACATGACACGATGAAATTATAATCTATCACAACTGTGTGATAGCAATCGGCACAAAACTTGTCTAGTCATTCCTATTATTTTTCTATCTGTCTGTAACTTAGCAGTTCACGTACATAGATAAATACATACCGTGTTCTGTACCACATCGGAGTATGCGTATATTTCTTCATTGTCTGTACCGAAGTAGTGTTGAAATAAGAGGCGAATGTTTTATGTCGTGGCCTCACTTAATGTATACACCCCCGTGCATTTAATATTGTTTTAGATATCAGACGTACTACTGCAGCTCGTTAACCTACTCTGTAATCTGCCAAAGTTTTTTTTTTAAGAAAAGCATTATTTCTTCGCACAAATGAAGGAGGCTGGGCCTTTGTATCATTCGACTACATACACTTTGATGTTAATCTGTGAGAGAAAGAAATCCTATTTGATGTATAAAAAATATTGAGATCTGATGTAAATATATCGTTGACTGTGTAGATGTAGCATATTTATTATTGTATGGACAAGATAGCCGGTCCTGGTTGTCTCTTGCTGTGAACCTGACTGGATCTGTCCATCGGGGAATAAATTATCAGAAAATACTACGCTTTTGGTTGAGTTGACTCATTTTTTCTCATTTAATCGTTTCGTGGACCGTGCCTAATACGAAAGTATCAATGTCTCTTTAATTTATCTTAGCGTGATTACCTTTTCTTGATTTATTTTAAAGTAACTTTCAACGTTTTAAGTATTCTCTATTTATTTTTAATTTTAAGTTTAACTGACAGCTGCTATGATATCGTCTTCAAACAGGGCAATCTGTCGCCCTTTATAATTCTCGATTACAAATCAAAAATTAATCTCGGCCGTCTCAGGCAATATGGCAATCGGAGGCTCGGGCCGTGGTGTCCGGGTGAAGCGACATTGTTGTCATGGGAACGATACTTAACTCAGCAGCTGAAGCCGGTGAAATAAGCATGTGGCGTGACAATTGCGATACCACGCTGAGAACAATAGCAACCGCTTATTACAAAACAATAGCTGGAGAAGAAGAGTAAAATCAGCTTTGACTGCTTTCCTTTTGGTCTTGAGGCAGCACTGCAAAAGACGGCGCCAAGAGTGATTGAGAGTGCTCAGAACACAGAGAGGGGCCCCGGAGGTGTTAATTGGATCGTCTCCGTGCTCCGACTGGAGCCGTCGACTCATAGTCAAAACAGTGCGCGTGTGTGATCAACAAACCCCTTTACTTCCTCTGCGATCGCTTTGTTTACTACTCCTTGTGCACCGGCACTGCCTTTTTGTCCAGTCTTCAGTGCGCTGTTCACTCCCCAAATTACGGCTCTTTGTCTCGTGTTTGGCGAGTGCCACTGACTTGTGTATCCAATCACACAAACTCGCAGATCATTACTGAAGGGTCAGTTGTAATGATAGGACAATTAGGTCCTTGTATTGTCCAGGGCAGTGATCTCGGCCCCTGGGTATTTATACTCCCTCAGAGGGATCCTGATCTCCCCACCCCTGTGTAATCGACCATGTATTATCAACGCCAGCTAAACAGTGCACACTAAAGGGATTACTTGCTCCGTTATTGTTCAGCTGTGGTCGCGGCGCCGCCCGCCTTGTTTATTATACCCGCTGTATCATTACCAGTCCCCTCACGTCACATAATGCACACGTCATGGGACGCTTTATTTAATGAATTTGTGGGCTAAACTTCGGACACAACAATAGACTTCCTAATTATACGTGCTGTTGCTCAGATTTTCTAATATTTATAAATAATTATGAAACTCTATGGGAAGTGACCAGTGTTCTCACGCAACATGGCAGCCTAAGCTTGAATAACATTTCATCATCTGTATTATTATTCGGTGTTCCGTGATTTTTATACGGATTATGATATTTATATATAATCATTTATATACAATAATGGCTGTCAAGGCTGAGTGAAAACATTGATGCAAGGATTATAATAAAAAAAAAGCTGAGAAAAATTGAATAAGAGTTGCTATGTTTTAATAGACCATTCGTTAGTAAAAAAATAAAATAATCACAATATGTTTTGTAATGCATTGGCTCCTAATTTTAGATAAAATCACATTTAACCTCAGAGTTTATCCATACTATATCTCATCTTACTCAATGTATGGAAGATGCTTCAAATATTATCAAAAAAACTTATCCATAGCTGTATTAGCAATATTAATAATAGCAGAATGTACCTGATATGAAAGATAAACGGTGCCGTTAGTTTATGGTTTTAAAGAGACAATGAATATGTCCTGAAAGTGCCATAAAAACATGCCCAGTGTTTCAGCTCCTGAAGTTGTGTGACAACAGTGCATTTTTACGACTTTAACTGCTGCCAACCAGTCGGAGTAACGTCTCCAATGTCGGAAATATGGAATATGATGAAAGGCACGAAATTGCCATTTCTTTATTTATACTACAGATTGCCTTTTCATATTCAATTAACTTACAGGCCTATCAAAGACTCTCTTATCGAGGAGTGCGTCTTAAAGTGATTTAGATATCAAGCGTTAATTTTTCAAAAGTGTACTTAAAAAGGATTTAGAAGTTAGGTGTTAAATGGATATATATTGACGAAATTTACCTTAAGTATCAACTTTATGTTAAGACTCCCATTCTCTTGATTCATGCGGGTCAATTTGGCAAGGTGAAATAAAAGATGGAGACAGAAAATTAGAGGAAAAATATATTGATGATATACACTCAATAAAAATGTGGATAATAAAGGTGTTATATGATGGAAGGAAATGGAAGTTAGATAAATAAATTCATTATTTAGTTATAAAAAATGTAGAATTAACACAGGCCAAGAATATATCTAAAATTGACTGGCTTTAATTATCTGTATTAACCATATTGTATTTGTCGCTATGTTGCAACACAGGTCATGAGTAAAAAGAGAAAATTCTCTAGACAAAAACAAATGAGTAACACTTAATTGTTAGGACAAGGTTCCAGTTGCTGCAAAATTACACAAAAATAATGTTTTGGAAATTTTAAAAATGCTATAACCAAGCAATGATAAATCTATTTATATATATATATGTTATGAAATTAATATTTAACTTGATGTGGCAGAATATCTTCATAAAAATTTCCAACTAAAAATTAGAAAGATGCATTTAAACACGGCCCAAAATGTTTAATGAATAAAAATTTAAGTTGTGATGATTCCCAAATAGAAACCTGCTCGAGATATATACGAACATTTTCATAATCACATTGTACTCTTTCTTTATAAACCCTCAGTTGAACACAACCCAATAAAGAGCTTCGAGTTTCAATTTGTTTATTTCGATTTAAAATTGAATCAACGCGATGGATTTGAACACAATGTAATACAGTGTAGTTTGGCTTCTGCTGGCCTCTCCCATGATTTCCAAAGTGGTTTTATCGGTGCTGGCGACACCGTGTTGTCTCTCCCTGATCCCTGAATGTGTTTACACTGGCCATGATAAGATAGGGGATCTAGCAACACAGACATCGAAGGAACTGGCTTGCTCTCCGTTGGTGGGAAGCGATAGTATACAGTTCATCAAATCTTCATTTGTACCACATAAACTTTGCAGGGATGTCAAGTTGGGAATGTTTCTTATCGCATGTTGTCTTGCTCCACCGTTGTTTGTCACATTTAATAATATCTCGTTCTGATACACAAAACGCGTAAAAATAAAAAATGAAAAAATAATAATAAACTTAAAGGGAGTATCGAATCAAATGACCTGCAATGTCACAATTTATAAACGTCACATGAGAGTTGGGGAAGGACATTTTGGTAGCCTCCTCACACGGGTGATAACGTGGACAGACAGATGAATATTCCTGCTTTTGCCCGAAATTGATTCTTTACATTCCGGTTGTCTAACGTTACCTAGGATTATCTGTTGGTGCTTTGATGTTCCGCGGGCTTGGCGCAAAGCCGGTGTCAAGCGGCCTGAGGGGGGTACTCTAACCCTGGCGCCAATCTGACCACCTCCCGGCGCCTAAGGTGTTAATGGACCGACACCGTGTAGAGTTAATACCTGTGGCGGCAGCCGCTGTTTGCTCTTAGCACCCTAATGCTAATACATTTACACCTATTTACATGTGTATCCTCTCCACTCGATAGCCTATTGACACGACTATTCAGGCAAACACTGGGAGTAAATAGTTAAAATTACTCGAACAACAAACTGGGCCGATTTACCCCCAGACCAGGCGGATAAGCCGCATGTATAAAACAACACGGGGATTAAGATGTAATTAAATTATCCATTTAGATGAAATCTATTCCTCGAGATAAGTCAACTTACACAATTCTTCACACCAAAACAAATGAAACTTTATAAACCGGCAAGAGGATCACGTAAGAAACCTGGCGCCGCCGAAGGAGGTGTTTTTTTTTTTTTTTTCTATTTCATTTTAAAACTAAAAGAGAACGGAGGGTTGTAGCTTTACTAAGTTTACAGTTAATGAACACCCACAAAAATCTGCGCGCAGTTGTCACAACTGTTTCGCATGAGAGGTACAATACGCCGCCCGTCCAGTTTTAGTTGAAGCGTCTTTTTTGCGCCAAGTGAAGCGCACCGCGCGGCTCCAGAATTCTCGCAATCTCCGATGCATCTCGTGGAAGAATCCGCCGCTGTGAAATTGTGGGAGACAGTGGCCTCCCTGCTGATTAGCTGTGTACAGATCCCCGACGGCTTTCTGTCACTCTGATGAACAGGACGCACGCACTTGCCCCTTATCAGATGAGAAAAAAATAAAATACAAGTCTGCTGAAAAAATTTACCAGCAATCCCGACTGATTTATCAGATACACCTAATTAGTGGTTCACGTCTGATGTCGGACTGCGGAGTATACAGAACAGTGCTGTTCCGCGCACTGCAGCCACTATGGCAATACAACCTAAAAGGTCTGGAAAGCATTCCCGATATAGGCTACATATATTTTTTACGTTTCTAATATTTTAAGACTTTCGTTCTTTTTTGTAAGTCGTCAATTGATTTCAAATCGTTGTTTTTAATAACGTGTCAAGATCCTGTTAACAACGGTCTTTGATTCTTAATAATAATAATACTCGTTTCTTTGTTTTTACTTATATTTAACATAATTTAACTTAATTCATGCTATTTTGTCAAATTTCAACTGATTTTTTTAATGATATGAAAATCTCATGATTTATTCAGCCGATATCTTCATATGAGCCTTGTTGTGTATCACATTAAATACATTTGATTTTATTTATATAGGTATATATATATATATATATATATTTTTTTTACCTATAACTGTAATGTACACGTGGCTTTAAATTATTTTTTCACTACATTAAGCGTATTTTATTCGATAGATTAAAACCAAAAAATCCAATTAATAACGTGATGGTCCATTGAACGAAGCCCCCTTTTTCGGGATTTTCCAGAGAACTCTGCCAATTCACATGACATGACACGGTGAAATGTGTCGCTCTGGTGATAAGAATTACAGTTACATGATAATGAAGCTGCTGACTAAGTACCTCGATATTTAATGATATCATTTCGAAGCGTCAATATTTGGCATTTGCAATTAGGCGTGGGGACCAGAGACCTAAGAAGCTTAACTCCCCTCCCCCACTTTCTTCAACCACGTCAGTCGAAAGGGCAGGACCTGGGGGAAATGGGGTCCTTGCCCCCCCCCCCCTCCCGCCCCCCTTGTCGCTAACATTTATTGATTTGTAAGCTCCTTCCCACTTTAAATGCGCAAACTATGGACCTGTTAAATTCAACGCACTCATATCCATTGAATTGTCATTGATATGATGTGATATAACAATGTGTTGTGTTAAAGATATGAAATAAAGTTACCTGATAATCAAACGCCGAACTTTGATGTAATGAATGTATTTCGATATATAATGATATGATTTGAAACCAGTGAATGAATTCCGAGATCGTAAAGTCAGATAACATGACATAATTAACGTGACGTGTCATCAGCCATACTGCTAGAATGAAACTTCATTACAGAATGAAATACTGACTTTCATACTCCCTACTGTTGAAGTGTTTGTAAACGTGAAAGGCGCTGCCTTGTTCCGAGAAGAGATCTGGTATCCGATTTTTCCAGTGCCTCTACAGCTTGTTTCACAAATTTTGCGCCAAACTGACAAGTGTTTATGTGTGTTTTCTTTGCAGACAGCGCAATGAAAAATGAGTTTATGCTACAGAAGTGGAACTACACGGCTACTAAGGGCGGGAGGAATAAACTTTCTGTTCTACTAACAGCGCCTTGGCTCGACTTTCGGCAAACACTCTCTTAGCATCGCGTCGCATTTGTCGCCGCTTTGGCTAGCAAAAACGAAGCACCAAAAGTGCTTGTTCAGCCCAAGAGACCACTTTGGTCCTAGTGTAGACAGTAGTAATATATCGTCCAGTACTCTCCTAACAGCGAACGTTCGCCCTTTTCATTATTGGGGAGGAAGGGATGAAAACTGCATTAAAAGTGGTTTACCTACATGTAGTAGACTCCGACTGACATCACACAGTCTGAAGCGTTTAACTAATTTTTTCTTTCCTATTGGTCAATTTATTTTTACTTATTTTTTTATTAATAATATTGCTTGTAATTTTTTTCTCTGTAATTGTAATTATTTCTCTGTAATGGTTACAATCAACATGCATGCAATCTGTCCTTTACGTTTTTGAGTACGGAGCTCGGCAGCAAGTGTTGTAAGAGAGTAGCCTACTGTATTCATCGTCTAAAATATTTTTGAGTCGCTAAATTTTGTTTCAGGTATGATACTCTATACGCTGTCTGTACGTATACGAACAATCCTTAAAATTTACTAATACATACTAATACGTAAATATATATTTTTCTATGGAAATCGGGTAAAACAGACGCTACTGTACATATAGGTGTGAATACGCGATCACACAAACAGTAACTGACGAGAGTGTGGCCGGAAAACATGCTACTTGATAATGTGAGCACTGTCATCATTTCTGATAATTGGGAGTCTATATTCTTTCACACCCTATAATTTTCTCTTAGCGTTTTATATGTGCTACATGAAACAGGATAAACTGTCATCGTTGCAGCTAACAGTTCTATTCACACGATATGTCTACATCCCCTGGGTTATTCTGTATGGCAATACTTCCCCTCATGGGAAATAATTACCACATCTTTTGTGACAAGTTTCAAAGGACCGTCATTTTGAGCCTTTCGTTAACGGCGCTGTATGGCGGAAAATACTGCAAGATGTGTTAACTTGATCTCCGATCACTTCTCTGAAACGAAACAACTAAGCTGATTTTGTTATCAAGATGACATTACATTTAAGAGTAAAAACATACTCGGGCAATGCTTGCCAGTCACATGAAACCATGGATTAACGCAAGAAATAATTTTGAATGAAAGCCCGTTTTAAATCATATTCTGGTTTCAAACATCGACATCTCTCGTCAAGAGAGTGCAGCGTCAAAGCTAGGCAGCAGATTGTCTGCATGATATTTGTCTTATCTGACAAAATATTGTTCTGTCAGAAGGATAGAGAATAGATCTGTTCTCTATATATTTCGGCGGTATGTCGGTTATGAATAAAAAATACTGAAACGAAATTCATTTAAGAGAAAAAAAGGGAAAGCGTAGATCACCAGAATCTGGAAGTCATATCGAAAAGCATTTAATTTAGCTGCTGATATTACGTGGTAAGCAATTAAACAATTAATAATAGATGGACTGCCATGGGTAATTTATTACACACAGATAAAATTATTTATCATTGCAATTAATGGAATCTGTGATGAGTATTATCTACATAACTGATTATTAGTGAATAGCTAGACTTGTGAGGTTTTAAAAAAAACATGAATTTGATATAGTCTTTCGGAATCTTTTTTTTTAACATGCAATGAAAACATCAGGTTTCCCTTTAATTGCTGAAAAATTGATAAATCAAACATTATTGTTTCTTGAAACAATGAATTTGATGGCTAAAATAAATGAAAATTATTATTAACAAAGCATGAAATAGGAGATAGAGATTGGTCTTATATGCACTATTGTGGTAAATACAAAGCTTAATGAGAAAAGAATATCGTAATTTATGCTATATTGTATTTGATATTTATGTCAAATAATTAGCATGCTCCATGTAAAACTTATTTATTCACCTCCTAAAACAATTTGAATTTTTGTTGCCGCCTGAATTATTGAGATATTTTACAGACCAGACTAAGGTGAAATAACTTACATCGGAAAACAAAAACATTCTCTGTTTATCAAATTAGTATTCAATTACTTTGAAAAAAGGAAACGTCAGGTTTCATCTATGACATCCGTGAAATTCTGTTTCGCCTTTTCTTTTTCACCTCATCTTTTTTAATGTGCTGCCTAGAAATAATTTAAGGTTTCTTTGTCTCCTTACTTCCTTAATATGCAGTTTAAAAAAGCCACGAGCAACTGACAAATAAATATCAAGTGTTTTCATGTCTCTCTCTCACCCCTGTTTCCTTTGTACCTTCACCAAATGAACTACATGGGTAATCAGATAATTTTTATGCGTTTTGCTCAGTGGCTGAGTTCAGAATTTGGCGTCAGCGTCCTGGCGTCAATACTAAGATAGCAATATAAGCTTTGCCTCATAAATAAACAAGAAATAGATACCAGAGTTAAAAATAAAAGGCTATGTTGATATTCTGTTTGTCCTTACCTGGCATTCTATAAAGCTGACATTTGGTAACGTTTCTATTATAATCATTATTTATAAAATTTCAAAATGAATCTTTAAAGCATACACGACGGAACAATTTCATTTTTAAAAAACCTCTAAAGTGATGGCAATTAAGAAGGTCCAAGTGTCTACACGCCAGAGATAACTGACATGCTCAACCAACAGCCAGCATAGCACAATCGCATTGTGTTAGAGATCTCTGAAAAAAAAAAAAAAAAGAAAAGAATGGCAAATTTCAAAGATGTCTTTATTTACTACTTTTGTTATGAACTATGACATTTTAGATCATGATATAGATTCTTCTAGGGCCTATTTCAAAGAAAATCATTTATATTAGCTTCGTGATGTATTCTAGCTTTGAATAAAATTATTTTATTCACAGCAACGCTTGGCCAAGGAGCTACATCATATGCTTTAACAAAACAATATCCATCCAAAAATGATCAAGGAAAGCCGAACATGAGTAACAAAGCACTGGTTTTCTAATAGCTTCGCTCATAGACAAATAGGTCTACGATCGCGTCAAAGAAACACAAGAAAAATTGAGCTTACTTGCAAGGAAATTGATTTCAGCCAATCAGCTTCACTATGACCGTTTGCTGCGAAGCTTTAACGCGGGAACGACAGATTTAGAGATGGGAACAGATAATATCAATTTCTTGTAAGTTATTCCTGCATTCTAGTCTGCTGCGTCAGTTGTTGAGTGTGTTTATTTTTTAAAAGTCAGTATTGACATATGTTCATGTAAGCTTTAATACTCGTAACAACGTAGTCATGCATGATATCAAACCGAAAGTGTTGGATGAGAAATGTGCCCAAGGTCCACACACTTCCAAATCGATACTCACTTCCACACGTTTCCTAACAAAGCACACAACTTGAAATTTAGTGCTCAGATATTTTGTATATCTGGATAACCTTATCTAGATAAAAAGTTAAATTGACATCATGTATGCAATTTTTAAAAATGTTCCCAAAAGGAGTCAAAACAAAAGTTGCCCAACATGATTTTCGGTTTATTATTATTATGCAGAGACATTTGAAATTCGACACACAATAAGTGTAACAGCAGGACATACATTAATTTTTGGTTTGGGATTTTCCGAATAAGAGACACATGCATGTTGTTTTTCTGTTGTATATTAATTCAAATATATTTTGCCCCTACAAGCACATGGGATTGCTCAGAATAAGTTATGGCCACCTAGCTTATGCCGGGCACTAACTCCACGGAGACTCTTGCTGAATGCAATCAGATAAATAGACTAATACTCCTCTTGATTCCAATGTACCTGTATAATCACCAGCTTCCCTATATTCTACTCAACACCAGGAGGTATGTTAGTCTTTCATCTGATTGCATTTGGCGAGAGGCCCCATTCATTCTGAATGCTCACTTAACTGTTACATATATATTTTTTTTCTGTACAGCAGAATGGACATACAAATGTAGATAGCGTGAGTAGTTGACAACCAGTATGGACAGTCCTGGAGATACAAGGTATATCAGTGGGATCAAGGTGAAGTTCCCAGTGAAACCATACTCTTCCCAGATCCTCATGATGGAGAGGGTAGGTACTTGTGGTTGCTTGTGCGTGCATGCGAGCGAGCGAGAAAGGCCCCAGACAGGGATTTGGTATACAAACTGTGGGGCTGATATCAAAACAAAAGAATTGCAGGGACTGATATCATTGTTATTGGCGACTCGGCTGCATGGTTCAGTTCACACAAACAATACAGTTGAATTGATATTTATTACACATACCTTCAACTGAACGATGGCCTGTTTTGGACATAATCAGCTGCTCTTCGATACCACTCCTGAAGTGATGCGTCACTGTAGTTGCCTGCAGAGGATGGTTGGTATAAAATCCTTTCAGTCCAGCCTTTTTACACATTTCTCTGGTAAAGTTTAATGGAGTATTCATACCAATTGGCTATCACTGTCTCCCCGTCAGTTCTGCAAAGGCTGGAGATAGAAAGCATCTTCTTTGCTATCTTTGGGGAATAATTCCCTATATTTCTCGTAAATTCTTACATGACATTGCTCCAGGCAGTCTGCATGAGCAAACTGGGTCATTTGTTTTGGAACTAATTTACGATTTTTTGAGACCATCTTGACATGTTTTAGAGACGTTTTCTGAATATTTCAAGTCAGCACCTTCAGGTTCGTGGAGCGTAATCTGCAGTGATTTATGTCGTGGTTATTGATGTTCCTGCCCACCTCGCAATCTAAAATTTTTGCCATTCAAGTAGTGCAGTGTGCACACGATTACTTTGGGATTGTAGTTGTCCAGTGGTTTTGATGACCACAGCTTTCTTTCATTCTCAAAAGAAAATGCTTGGGTCTATTTGGTCCTTTTTTTTTCGTGTCTAAATTTCTTCCTGTTGACTTGTGCCTAGAAGTTCATCATCCTATTTGTCAGAAAATTGCTGCATCGTTTCAGAATGATATTTCTCTACATTTTGGATTGCACTAATGAGTTCATTGTCCAGTATATCAGAAAACTGCTGATTTGTATTCTCCAAATAATTTTTTCTGCCTTTTGAAACTTTGTCGTCCTATATGTTGGAAAAATGTGCAAAACTCGGCTGTGTGTCCATTTCTGGAATGTTGGTCTGTTGCCTGGCTGTGCCGAACAATGAATGAGAGAGAGTGACTGCAACATGCTGGACATGGGCAGGAAGTCGGTATATCGAGCTCATGGACAGTGCATTATTTAGTACGCAATATACTAGAAATAGCCAAAATAAATGTATTTTTAACTTACAAACAACGATAATTAAAGCCAACTTCTGAAAAAAGAATAAAAAAAAAAAGAAGCATTTACTTCCAGGTCTGCCCTAGTAAGTGGTGGTTTTGTTCTGTGCTTAAATGTAAATTGTTGATATATGCAATTGTTAGTATGTCTTGGGTAATGTTTCGTTATGCCACATGGTATAATAACCGTATTTCTTATAGTCTTATTCATTGTAATCAGTGGATATCTTCTGAAAACTTTTTTTTAGATTGTGAAGGGCATAGAACGTGGGCAAAACTGTTTGCTTGAAAGCCCCACAGGCAGTGGAAAGAGTTTGGCTTTATTGTGTTCTGCCTTGGCTTGGCAAGAAGCAGAATCTGGTAAGTTTTACCAACTGTATGCAGGCAAGTAGACATCTGCAGATGTAGGTAATTTTGATACATATAAGAGCATCATATATCAATAAAACAAATTTGGCACAAATTTTATTTAAATGATATTCATTAAAGCATTTAGTGAGATGTTTTGAAATGTTAATATGCAAGACTTGAAATTGTTTTAGAGTTTTGGTTATATTGAGAGAAGGCTAAATTTTCTGGTGTTATGGTTGATTTCAGAGAAAGCTGAGAAAGAAAGTAAAAAACAGGATGAAGATAAATGTTGTGAGTAGTGCAATGATTTGATAAAATTTGGGTGGATTTTGCCAAAGTCTCCTTACTATAAATATCTATCTATCTATCTATCTATCTATCTATCTATCTATCTGTACTGAATATTCTTACTTTCTGGCAATTTTGATAATATTAATTAAGTTTTTTACTTTTCTTCAACCATGTTTTTAAAAAGTCATTGTAGTGTATCACTTCAGTACCTGTGCTAGGTAAAACATATTATTTTGGCTCTGCACATAATTAACAAATATTGATTGTACCTTTGCAGTATCTGAAGAAAGTTTCCCAAATGTAGGTAAGTGTCAGATATTTGAATTAGTTCACATGATGACTTGCATAGCAAAGACCAAGTTGAAGTATTGTTAACTTTTAGGGGTACATAAGACTGGGTTCCCATACCTAGGTCGATCTAACAGGATCGATCCATCTTTGAGGGGTTTCTCGCTAAATTGCTTTCAGCTTAAGAGGCTTAGAGGCTCAGTAGGTGTGACAGACATCTAAGCAAGCTGCTTAAGTTTATTCAGTTGCAATTTAGAGTGAATTCCCTTGGAGATAGGTTGATCCACAGTTATTACAATAGGGTCTGGGAATGGTCCCTAAAGGGTAGGCTAACCCCACTTTGTAATCTTTATCTCATTAGCTAGCAGTCCAGTTGGTCCCTGTACCTGTGGAGCTGGGAACCCTTCAAGTGGTCTCTACCCCACTGGCCTGGAACTTCCCTATGTCCAGCCACACCCACTGCTGGTACACAGTCACATTACAGCCAATGCACTCCAAGGTAAATATATTTACTTCATGTTCTGATTCTTTGCTCTCAAACTTTATTTTTAATATGAACACAGACTCAGTGTTGTGGGCTGAAGTGCTCATTTCCTGTACTTTATTTTCAACGATAAAGAAAGATTACTAGTCAATTCATTATTGAAACAACATTATTTCCCTTAAATTCTCTTTTATGTGGCTGTGTTTTTGCAGATCTCCATCTTCCATGTCTTTTGAATAATCTGTCCTGTACTCCTTGACTTGCTGCTACAGTGGCCCCATCTGATCCTAAGCCATGAGTAGCAAATTTGTTTTCATCCAAACCAAAACTTTCAATTGCTGATAATTCAATTTCTCTAGCTCTGCCATATGAAAGAGAAATGTTTCCTTTTCTTAATTTGTATGCTCCTTATTTATTTTATTATTTTTTTAATTAATAATTTTTTTTTTTTACAAAAATACACTGACAGATTAATACATCTGCTGAAGTCGAGTATCTTGATCTTGATAAGAGAGCTACTGGACATGTTTTAGAAAAAGTTCTTGTTATACATATTTTTGCACCTGTATTTTAAATGTCTGTTTTACATCTCTTGATATAAATTTTCATATGATCTTTGAAAAAAATTGTCCTTACTCTTAATGTGCGAAAGTTGAAAAAATGTAAAAGCCCTGCATAACTGAAAAAACACACACAGGCTATTTGAATGTCTGATAAAGAGGAATGTTCATTTGTGTACTTATCTACTAAAACTGTTCAATGTTTATGTAAAATATTTTTTTCTGCATTGTTGCACTAGAAACTTCTCAAATAGCTCCTTCTTTGATGCTTTTTGAGAAATAGGAATCTGTGGGATGGGAAAAATCAGTTCAATTCTGAGCCCATTTTGTTGCATAATAGCTACGTTCATCATTGTGGACGAATTTCTGGATTCCACAAATTGATAAAAATACATATAAATTTTTTTGGAGGTGGTCAAGAAGACATTCTTGGATTAAAACTATTACACCTGGGTCTTCTGTTTTTGACAACCTATCACTTGTCAGTCAAGCTGTGACATCTATGGACCGACATCTACTCCAGTGGCTTCATTAGTAACGTTCCCACAATTCAGGGTTTTCTATCTATGCGTGAAAATTGTTTGACCTTCCGATGAGGACAATGGCCATTTCTCACCCCTCTAATTTTACCCCTGATCCATCCTTGAGACAAGAAAATATCTGAAAAACTTCACTTTTTGGTTCTATGAGGTTTGGCTTTCCCAGCAGATTGTTTTCCTATGAGTTGGTCAGATTCAAAGGGAGCAAAGGTCCTAAGGTCTTGGTCAGCAAGTCCCACGAAAAAACAAACTGAGTAGTAGGAAAACTTGGAAGAGGACAAGGATTCATTTGACTGACTGAACCTGCTGCTGTCGTAGGGGTTAGGTAAGGCAAAAATGTCGCTGCTCCAGGAGCTATAAGGGTATGTGGTACAATCTGGGTTACTTCGGTTACCTTGGCCAAGCTCTCTGTTCTTGAAATTTTTCATTTTTCACCAGAATCATCAGCATAATAAGCTATTTGATAGTCTTTGACTCTAATCCAACCGACAGGGGAAAAATTGGCAGTGCGGATATGTTTATTACACACGAGCACTTTCTCTTTGAGACTTATAATTATTTGGATGGATTTCTTGTCATAGTGTGCTCTGCATTCAAGCTTCTCTAGCCTCTAAAGAATGTCTGAATTGAAGCTGTGTGAGGTCCTCAGGCTTGTTTTCTTCTACTTTGAATTGCAAATCTCAATTTTCTCAATCTTTTTGTCAAAAAATATGGTTGATCAAGTTTGTTGCTCTGTGTCATTGTTATTGTGTGCTCTGGATTCAAGCTGTTCTAGCTTCTCCAAAATGTCAAGCACATAGCTATAGGAGACCCTGTTTCTTTCTCTTTAGAGTTGTAAGTCTTGGGATATTATGATCTTTTACTCAAAAACTTAAATGGAACCATTTTGTTGCTCTGTGACAGAAGCGAACTAATTTTGCAAAAATAGATTTTAGTAAATCAAAAACTTTGCCCATATTGACTTGGTTGCTGCTGTTACTTTCAAGGTCCTCTTTGCCAGAACCAAAATCACTTTAGACATTTTCTGCTTGCATCTTAGTACACGAAAGAGCCTTGCATGGCCCGTACTAAAACTTGCTTCTCCACTTCACCTTCTGTTTGTGAATACTACGTCAGTGACCAACAGTTAAGTGCTATAGTTAAGAATCAGATTGAAAAAGTAAATGAATTATTTTTTTGTGTGTGGAGGATTATTTATTCATTTTCCATTTAGTTTCATCTAGGTGACAAAAGCACAAGTCTAATTTATTATGTTTATAAATTAGACTTGTGCTATTGTCACCTAGGTGAAACTCCACCAAACACTGTAAGCAGAGGGAGCAATACCACTGCTGCTGGGACGTCTGATATGAAGGAAAACCCCACAATAGGTGGCAGCACTTACACAATCCAATCCAATCAAAACAGTGCAGAGAAAGAAGATGAAGACTTCCGCCCCACCAAAAAATTCCGCACTCCAGGTGGGCAGGTAGGAGTCAAAAGAGTTCACAAGGGTATCGCGTACGAGGATGAGGAGGAGGAAGAAAAGCGTGGACCCTCAGTGGTCAACCCACCTCCGGCTGGACCCCCTGCCTGGACAATGCAGATCACTAGTACTGTGGGGTCATCCTATGCTGCCCAGCTGACCAATGCCACACCCGCTGCCACGCCCTGTGCTGCCTGTGTGTGCAGGAGGAAAAATAAGGAGGCAGAATGTGCTGCTGGTGGGGACAACTTATCTGGAGAGAGAAGGAAGTATGTTGATATCAATTTCTTCAAGTTTTGTTGGTTTAAAATTTACAAAAGTATGTGGAACGATGGAATCGGGAAAGAAAAATTTTAATGTGGGGATAATGAAATTGCTTTTTTTTCTTGGTATGAGTATTGATATATGTTTTATTCAGAAGTGTAAGATTTTGCAGTCGATTATTTTTTTTATTAGCATATTATTATTGTTGTTGTTATTTTGTTGAATATACAAATAATTACTTCCTGCTTTACCTATAGGTTTATTTTTTCAGAGTGCCAAAAATTTACTTTGGAACCAGGACTCACAAGCAGATATCTCAGATTGTTCATGAACTTGGCAGAACTGCCTATAGGGAGGCAAAGTAAGTGCAGATCATCCCTCAAAGAGGCAAAATAACAATGAACAGCCCTCAGAGAGGAAAACTAACAATGAACTGCCCACAGAGAGGCAAATGTGCATTGAACTGCAGGTAGAGAATCAAAGAAGTGCAGAACTGCCCTTGTATTTCCTTCTTTGGGCATTTCAATTTTCTTTCAAGAGATAAATTACAGATGCAGTCTATAGGTTGATTGATACTTAGTGGTTTATTTAAGAGAGCTAAAGAGAGTGCAGAGAGAGGCACAATATGAGTTTAGTCAAGAATAGGGCTACGCATCTGTTAGAGCAATTTTCCTGACTTCTTATGACACAATTTGAAATTAAGAGAGAATGTTTTAATGGAACACAAAAGATGGCGTGGTTGATTCTTTTATTTCTTTCTTTTTCACAGGATGTGTATCCTCTCCAGCCGTGAGCACACCTGTATCCACCCAGAGGTGTCCAATGGCCCTAATAAAAATGACGGATGCAGGGAAAAATTAGATGTATGTCGTGTGCTGATATTCTGGCTGTTTGCTTGATATGTTATCTTTTTGTTAAAACTTTTAAAATGTAACAAACCACATGGTTGGTGGTGGATATGCCCTAGATTTTTGTCACACATGGTCTGTTATGGATAAAATGTTAGTTTTTTTTTTCTACAGTTTTATTTTAATAACACGTCTACCAGGCCCTAAGGCAGGAAGAGTAAAAAATAATCACTCTTTTGTCTGAAAAATGTCTGCTCAGAATCGAATTTGTTCTAGGTTTTATGCCATTCCTCAGATTGGGTCATCCAATATAAGGGGGGTTAAAAGGTTCACATTGAAAAAAATGAAGATCCCTTTAATACTGCTGGCTACAGGACTGTCTTCCCTTCCACTGAAAAATCCACCCATTCTGTAGTCCACATATGATGAGACAAATGAAATTTTCCTCTATTAATGTCCAGCACAACCAATGCAACTACTTTGAGAATGTGTACAGGATTAACCAGAGCAGCATCAGGGCCTATGGACTGGCAACAGCTTGGGATATTGAAGATTTTGTTGGAGTCTGCAAGAAAAAGAGAGTATGTGTACTGCATATGAAAATTTTTTTCAGTTCTTTTTCATTTGAGTGTCAAAATAATACAACCTGTCCATTTTGTCAGTACGAGTCTATTTTTGCCTCAGCAGTCTTTATATTCCAAATGATTAGCAGTATTTTAAATCAAGACATTCAGATTATCAAATAATATCCCAAAGTGATCTAAACTTAGTATACATATTCTGTTAATGACAGTGCTTGTTATTTTTATGGCTAATATATCAATATCATATCTTTTTCAAAATTTTAGGCTTGCCCATATTATGGTGCAAGGGGGTTAAAGACTGATGCTCAGATAATTTTCTGTCCCTATAATTATTTAATAGATCCTGTTATAAGAGAAAATGTAAGTATCTTGGGGTTGTGGTTTTACAAAGAAATTATGTGAAGCAGCGTAATCCTAAATTAAAAAAAGGAAATATGTTTTTTCCACTTATGAAGTTTTCATTCTCTGTCAAACATCCAAGGTTGAAAAGTCTGTCCAACTAAAAATTATTTGCTTTTTTACACATACATAAATTAATTTTAATAAAAGTGATATTTAACTTTGTGTAAATTCTGTTCTCTTGTATTCTATTGATGGTTGTAAAATGCATTATGTACATTGGTTTCACATCATGCATTCTGTGACAGATATTCTCTTTATACTATTGCAGATGGAGATTGCTTTAGAGGACCAAATTGTAATCTTAGATGAGGCCCATAACATAGAGGACGCTGCCAGAGAGGCTGCCAGCTACTCCATCAACCAAGAGCAGCTCAGGAAGGCCATTGAGGATATCAAATTCATGGGTAATTTTCATTGTTTCATATTGTGTTGGAAGTACGTAAATGTTTTGTATTGTAATTTTTGTGAAACCACAGGGTGCTTGCAGTTAAAGGTTGAATTGTCATATGGAGATAAAGATTTTTGTGTGCATTAATTGGGTGTTATTCAAACTTGTTTTATATATATTGTTGTCTTACTGTGTTTTTTTTTCTTTTCAGTGGACCAAAATATTAAAGTGGATAATTACCTGGCTTTGAAATCCATGGTAAAACATTTTTATGTACAGACACAGATGTGTTTTGTATTGTAATTTTTGTGAAACCACAGGGTGCTTGCAGATGTGTCTGTACATATTGCCATCACCTGCGTCTGTCGTCGCCGTCCCTGTCGCCGTCGCCGTCGCCGTGCACTTTCAGCATTAACACGATAAGTGGAAGACAGTTTTACTTTTGGGCTTTAAATTTACAGAGCTGATGAGTATTCATAAAACGCAGGTCAAGTTCGAAAATAAGCATGATCGGGCCATTATTGTAGAAGTTATGCTTTTTTTTCACTTTTCAGCATATATGAAACATCGTTAACACATTTCAATAAAAACCGATGTTGTCATGAAACTCATAGGGGTAATCAATCTTACTAAAACGCAGGTTAAGTTCGAAAATCGGCATGATCGGGCCACTATTTTAGTAGTTATGCTGTTTTTTTCACTTTTCAGCATATGTGCAACACTGTTAACACATTTCAAGGAAAACCGATAGACCTGTTGTCATTAAACTCACAGTGGTAATCAATCTTACTAAAACGTAGGTCAAGTTCGAAAATCAGCATAATCGGGCCATTATTTTATAAGTTATGCTGTTTTTTCACATTTCCTCAGATTCAATTCTTAGGCATGTTAACAGTCTCATTATTTAACTAATAAGATTCGTAAAAGTGTTTGTTTGACATTTCCTGCATCTTTACAACATTGTTAGTTGATTATGTAAAAATGATGGTAAACTTGTTATCATGTATTGTATAATAGTGTTTCAAAAATGGAAATAAACTCATATCATTGCAGTTTGTCAGATTCATTCATTGACTATGTTCAGAAACTCAGAATGGAGGAAATTGGACATTAAACACTGTTCTATTGATATTTTTCCCATCTCATCAATTTTCTTAGTTGATCATATATAAATGGCAGTAAATTGTTAATTTTGTTATATGTTAAAAAATTGTTAAAAATGGAAAAAAACACATTTCAGGACAGTGCTGTCTTGTCTACATTTTGGCATTTTCAAGGTGTGACTTTGAAGTTCCTTTGGCCTGAAGACCTTTGCTAGGAACATTTTCTGAATATCCATGATACTAATATTTTATTATTAAAAATTGATGGTAATTATCCTGTTAAACATTATGTAATA